GATGTGTTTCTGTCTTAGGTCCGGCTGTACAAGCAGCACGTGGCACTGGCTCTGGAGCCTCGGTGAGGCGCAGCTGGTGGCCTGTCGAGCTGGCGATCCCACGCGCTTCTCGTTGGAGGAGGAGGAGGAGGAGAAGGAGGGCCAGTGTAAACCCAAGAGTCATCAAAGATGTTGAAATCTACCCTCCCTCCAAGCCTCCTCTTCATGGACCCTCCAAAGGTTTTCCATTGAGGGAACTGCCTCGTTGGAAGACAACCGTTTGAAGATCCTGAAGCATGCAAGAACATTGTTCTCGGGATTTCAACCCCACGGATCAACCTGACTGCTCCGTCTTGATCGGGAATCGTGCCAGAACGCCGCTTTTGGGCCTTCAACACCGCGAATCAACATAACAGTGCACCCGCATAATCCTGAATCCTTCCAAACACCATTTCTAGTACGCTGATCATGGAAATCCGTGAAAGTATTCCAGATGTTTCATACGAATGTGCGCGGCGCTAAGGCGAGAGCCACATTTTGAAAACCACCCGCCCTCCATCCGTGAAGCCCTTGCACATGTTTGTAACGAATGCGCGCGGCGCAAAGGCGAGAGCCATATTTTGAACACGGCCCGCTCTCAATCCGTGAAGCTCTTGATATTTGTGAAACGAACGTGCGCGGCGCTCAGGCGAGAGCCACATTTGAGAACGACCCGCCTTCAATTCGTGAAACTCTCGCAATTTGTCTTAGCAAGGCGAGAGCCACATGTTGAAAACCACCAGCCCTCCATCCGTGAAGCTCTTGCACATGTTTAAAACGCATGTGCGCAGCCCTAAGGCGAGAGCCACATGTTGAAGACGGCCCTCCCTCAATCAGTGAAACTCTTGCACATGTTTAAAACGAATGTGCGCGGCGCTAAGGGGAGAGCCACATTTCGAAAACCCCCCGCCCTCCATCTGTGAAGCTGTTGTCACTTGTTAAGCTTCAGAGTCGTACATGGTGAGGAAGTCTCAGGCGAAATGCCCGGCCCGCCCTAAACAATGGGCTTCGACTTCGGGGTGCGACAGGGAAAAGTAATTTGAAGGGAAAGGAATGGAGGAGGAGGAGGAGGAGGAGGAGGAGGAGGAGGAGGAGGAGGAGGGAGGAGGAGGGGAGGGGGAGGAGGAGGGAGGAGGAGGAGAGGAGGAGGAGGAGGAGGAGGAGGAGGAGGAGGACCAGGCCGGCCCTCGAGGAGCTTTCCTCCCGCAGCAACTTTCGTGGACCTGGCCCTCCGAAGACGATGACTGGGTGAGGAGGAGGAGGAGGAGGAGGAGGAGGAGGAGGAGGAGGCGGAGGAGGATCGAGGAGGATCGAGGATCGGGAGGAGGGCGGTGGGAGGACGAGGAGGAGGAGGAGGAGGAGGAGGAGGAGGAGGAGGAGGAGGGGGAGGAGGAGGAGGAGGAGGAGGAGGAGGAGCAGGAGGAGGAGGAAGGGGAGGAGGAGGAGATCCCAGAAGCTCCTCAGAAGAGGCTCCCAGAAGAGGACGAGCGAAACCAGGACGTACACTCGTGTCAAGCAGTCGCGAAGCGTCCCCTCGCCTACAGGCCCACCAGAGAATGTTATAATAGCCTCATGTGGTCTGCACGAAATGTTCTTAGAACATGTCTTGCTGAGGCTGTGTTGTTTTAGCACAGTGTGCTTGTTCTTAGAACACTTTGGGGCTCTAAGAATATTCCGTGGTAGGCATACAGGAATACTGGGACGGTCGGTCCCTGCTCAATGATGAGGTTCCAACCTACTTCTAGCCTTGCTGGCCAGCAAGAATGCCGAGTACCAAGGAAGTACCGCAACTGGAGGTTTTTCACGTGACGGGCCCTGGGGCCTGGGGGGCGATGCTCGTTCGACACTGTTGCGATCTTTTTCGGGGCGCTCGAAATCATGTCTGGGATGGGAGCAACACAAACGCACACGTACATGAACACACGTTGATTTGGAGAGCACGCATTGCGCAAACGCTCGTATCGCGAGGCTGGCCCCGCGGACTGGGGGGGCGTATTCAGGTGCGCGGCTGGGCGCGTACGTCCTCTGTGGGCTCCCTACGAGCGGTGCCGTGACCCCGCCGTGCTGTGAGTCAGTGGGGGATTCGCGGCCACCGCACGGCCTCAGGACCGGGGCCGTCCTCCGAGGATGGCCGGGGCGACTGGGGTCCCCCAGGGGTCCCAAGACCCGTGCGGGGATGGACCGTGCGGCAAAGGCTTTCCGGGGATTTCGAGGCGCAGCCTGTCGTCGCACCGTTTTGGAACAGGGGTCGACCTAAGCGGTGTTTTGGCGAGTTCGTGGGCCGTTTTCGCTTCGATATCGTTATGCAGCAGAAGTGGGTTGTAGACAAAATGAGGAACAGCGAGAACGCAACGAAAACGATTACCTTGCGACGTACCCAACGCATCGGCACCAAGGGATGATATCAGGTGTGCCGACAATAGTGCGATAGCAACACTGCAAGAGACGGTACACGGCGGATATTTATATCGTGCGAAGTGTGCATGGACGATTCGCACAACAGAGGTACAAGAAAACCAGGAGGCATTGGGAAGGAGAAGCAAAAGGAACACATCGGGGTGGAAGCACAATCACCACCTCGGCAGAAGCAGCGGGATGATGGAGCATGGGCAAGCGAAGGTTCCATAGGTGGAGTCGCGACCAAACAGTGAGGTGGCGCGTTTTTCATGCCGACATGCTCAACACCTGCGCGGCCAGCGCTCAGCGTTGTTGCCGCGCCTCGGAAAATTGAAAGCCCCCGTTACCAGTGCAAGGAGCAGTCAAGGCCTCGCTCGCCCGCCAGCCTCCCCGCTTCCTCCCTGCACCTCTTCGTGCGAGCACCCAGCGCACGCGGGCGCGCCGCCTGCCTCCGAAAGTGGCGGCAGTCTCGCACTTCGCAGCCCCCCCCCTGGGGATGGCGAGGTCGCGTGCGGGTCTGCGTGGGACTCCCCTGCGCTGGGCCCCCCCGGCAGCCTTCGAACGCGGCGGCAGCTTCACACTTCGCAGCCCCCTCAGCTTCGCAGCCCCCTCAGGGATGGCGAGGTCCTGTTCGGGTTCGCGTGGGATCCAAATGTGCTGGCTCCCCCAGCAGCCTTCGAAAGTGGCGACAGATTCGCATTTCGCAGCACCCCCCCGGGATGCCGAGGTCCCGTTCGGGCTTGTGTGGGACCCCAATGTGCTGACCCCCCCAGAAGCCCCCGAAAGCGGCGACAAGTTCATACTTCGCAGTCCCGCCATGGATGGCGAGGTCCCGTTTGGGTCTGCGTGGGGCCCCATTGTGCTGTCCCCCCGGCAGCCTTCGAAAGTGGCGGCAGTTTCACCAGGGATAGCGAGGTCCCGTGTGGGTCTGCGTGGGACCCCACCATGTTGGCCCCCCCAAGCAGCCTTCGAAAGTGGCAGCAGTTTCGCACTTCGCAGCCCCCAGGGATGGCGAGGTCCCGTTTGGGTCTGCGTGGGACCCCATTGCGTTGGCCCCTTAGCAGCGCGCGAAAGTGGCGACAGGTTCACACGTCGCAGCCCCCCAGGAATGGCGAGGTACCATGTGGGTTGGGGTGGGATTCCACCGTGGAGACCTCCCCAGCAGCCTTCAAAAGTGGCGACACGTTCGCATTTCGCAGCCCCCCCAGGGATGCGAGAGGAGAGAGCCGAGAGGAGAGCGGGGCGGGGGGGGGCAGGAAAAGGAGCAGGAGAAGGAGAAGGGAGGGCGACCCCACTGCTGGATTCACAACGAGGGCCCAACCAAGGGATGGTCGGGGAACAAAAACGCTTTTTGGGTCGAGCACCTGGCTTGGGACCCCCAGCAAGCCCCGATCACCCCCGATGCTTCTCCCTCCCGCCGTGCCCCAGGCCGCCCCGGCCCATTGCTTCTCTCTCTTTCTTTCTTTCTTTTTTTTTTGTCTCTCTCTCTCTCTCTCTCTCTCTCTCCGTTTCTCTCTTTCTACATTGTTGTGTTACTTCTTTCTCTCTTTCTTTGTCTCTCTCTCTCTCTCGTCGTCGTGCCGTCCGCAGCGGCGAGAAGCCAACTTCCAGGAGGCCAAAAGAGGGCGAGACACTCGGGGAAACGTAAGACTCGAGTGCGCCAGAGCTCGTGCCAGCCGAGGCGTTTCGAGGAGCGCGTCCTGGACGCTGACGGTCCAGTGTCCGCGGGATGCTTGCAGCGGAAGCCCCCCGCCAAATGTCAGACTGGGCCCCGTCGCTCCCAGGATGGCCCCGCCGGGCCGCCCCCGCGCCCCCCTGAACCCGAGCCTCACACGTGGAGGGCCGCCGTTGTCCCGACCCCGATCGTGTATACAGTCAAAAACCCTAACAAGGACGCGCGGTAAGGACGCAAGACCCTTGGAAACCGAAGTTGGGATTTTTGAGGCGGCGGACGACGAAAACCTCAAGGACGCAAGAGCAAGGAAGAGCAAGGACGCAAGGGTACCCTGAGCAAAGTCGCGCGTCCTTATTAGGGTTTTTGATTGTAGCCAGGACCCCAGGGAAGGGGACCCGGTCAGTGGTCGGGCCCTGGAGCCCTGGCATCGGCCAGCATCACCAAACCAGGTCTGCCGCAGCTGGTGTTTTGTTTCGGGCGACGGCAGCTCCCGTTCGTAAAACGGGGCGCGGGGGCGTCCCCCAGTGCGCATCACGAAGCCTGTGGGAAACAACACACAGTGTGTGTGTGTGTGTGTGTTTTCCCACAGTGTGTGTGTGTGTTTTTCCCCCACAGTGTGTGTGTGTGTGTGTGTGTGTGTGTGTGTGTGTGTGTGTGTGTGTGTGTGTGTGTGTGTGTGTGTGTGTGTGTTTGTTTGGTGTGTGTGTGTGTATATATGTTTTCCAACATTCTCCACCAATCCCAGCTCTGCCGACGCCCGACCCGAGGCCTCGGCCCAACAGAGCTCCTCCGTGCCGCCCGGCCGCCGCTCCGGGCGCACCTGCGGCTCCTCCGCCGCGCGGCCCGCCCCGGAAGGGCGCCGCGGAGGGCCCCTCGGAGTCTGCCCGGGCCCGCGGTCGGCCCCCCGCAGGCGGGCGTGGAGCAGGAGAGCGCGGAGCACGTGATCGCGGAGGCCAGGCGGCTGGCGGGCGTGGAGGCGAGCCTGCGCCCGTCGGTGCTCTGCTGCGCTGGGCGGGTGCACACTTGTTCACTTTTTGTTCCACTCTTGGAGAGTGCTCGGCGCTTCCTTGAAGGGGGGCAGGGAGCCTTTCACTCCTGGTTGCTCTGTCCTGGGCCTCCTCCTGGCCACGAGGGGGCCAGGCACTTTTTTTTTTTATCTGCGGGGCGAGAGCGAACCTCTCCCGATAGATGCTAAGCGGGCCGCGCACAGCATCAATCAGCGAGGGAGGGCAAAAGAAGGCGGGGCCTCACGTCAAGGCCGAGAGAGGGCGAAGCTACGAGGGGGGGCCAGGCACAGGCACAGACGCGAGCACGATTGCAGAAGCGAGCGCGAGGAGAAGTGAACGACGCGTGCGGCCAAGACGCTGGGACCCAGAGATCCGATGCCGTGATATTTTCAATGCGCGGCCCCCGGAAGCCTCGACCCATTCCCCAGGACCGGCTTTTCATCCTGAGTCGTTTTTTGGCCAGTCCCGAGGCCCGGCGAGGGCCCCTAGGGGCCGAAATGTGCGAAAAACCTCCGTCTTGATTTTTTCAATGCGTTGGATCTTGGGGGGCGAGGACGCCTTCGGGCATCGGGCGGGGCTCGGCTGCTCGGGCCGCCCCCGAGGGAGTCGTGCCGTGGGGCACTGCCTGTGGCCGAGAGGCCCGCCGTGGCCGGAGAGGCTCCTCCGCCTGGCAGCAGACCGAGTTCGGTCATCTGGATGCTTTCGACTACTCCAGATCTCGTGATAAAGGGGAGGGGGTCTGGACCCTCCAAGACAAGCCATTTCAGACCTCCCCCGTGGGAGAACCCTCCAAAACATCGTCCCCAGACCCCCCCCAGGCCCTCCAAGATAGCCTGGAAGAGACCCCCCCCGAAATGAGACCCCCTCCCTTTTGTTACGGAATCTGGAGTAGCGCTGTAATCGGCCAACATATGATCAGAGAGCTCCGAATCAGCTTCCTAGTGATAGGGAAACATAGAAAACGTGCTTTCCTATTCCTAGGGAAAAACTAGAAAACATGTTTTCCTATGAATAGGAAAACATGTTCTATTATTTACTTATCAATAGGAAAACACGCTTTTCCTTATTAATAGGAAAACACGTTCGTGTTAGAAAAGTAGAAAAACGCTTCTAACGATTCCCTCCCGATTGCTGTCACGAACAGCTCTGTAGCTCTTCTTTAGCTCGAGTTCAGTCAAGAAAACCATTCCCCACTGTGCGTTCCCTGCAGTCGGCCTGGAGTGCACAGCCGTGACAAAAGTTTCTTCAATTTGCTATGATGAGGATCTCTCCCATCCAAAACGGGATCGGAAACCGCTCCGCGCCGAACCATCTAAATTACCGAGCGGGATGCGATTGCGCGCGGAGTAGTTTTAGCGAAACTACTCCGAACTACTCCGCACGAGCGAGTCGTTCCAAAGGGCAAATTGAAAGATACTGTCGTCACGGCGATGCAGCAGGCCGATCCTGCCAAATCAAGGGTAGATTTACGCCCCGTGTCTCGCGACCCGTGCCTCCTGCATTCCCATGGCGACGTGGCCCCCTGCCGGGCCTTCTGTCCCCTCGCGTGTCCTGCCCAGTGCAGTCCGACTGCACGTGGTAGCACGATGGTTGCAGAAGAGGAGGAGGAGGAGGAGGAGGAGGAGGAGGAGGAGGAGGAGGAGGGTTGCAGAAGAGGGATGGGCAGGAGGCGGAGGAGAGCCAGTCGGGACAACGGCCCCTTCCTGGCGTGGTTCCTGCTTTGGGGGGCCTCCTGCAATGGAGGCTCCTCGTCGCCGCGGTCGGAGCCGCCCCAGAACACGGGTCAGGATGGACTCCAGGACCCCGGGAGGGGTCTGGGGACCAATTTCGACTGGATCGGGGCCGGACGAGAGACCCGCCGTTGTTTCGACTGGGCTCCTCCGAGGCTGCGCTGAGCAGAAAAGGAGGGAGAAGGGGAGAGAGAGAGAGAGAGAGAAGGAGGAAGAGTGATACAGAGATAAGCAACGTGTAATTATCGATGTGTACACATGAATACGTATGCATATGCTTGTTTACATCGGTACAGCCATCTCTGTATGTATACGTATAGAAGTGCATATATACACAAACAGAGACAGAGAGAGAGAGAGAGAGAACGAGAGAGGGTTAAAGAGAGAGAGAGAGAGAGAGACGACACCCCAGAAAGGTCGAAAACACGAACAGCGCTCGGAGAACATCTCTTTGGAGGATCGTGCCGATGCCTCTTTGGTTGGAATCCTGGCCATCGAGGTCGCCGTCCTCTGCCCATGTGCGGGGGCGGGGTGAGACTGTGCGATGCTGGGGCAGCTTCAGGAGATCTTTCCAGCATGGAGCGACGCCCACCCTCGCTGCACCGAGCCTCCACGGCCTGGCTGCGCACCCCCCGGATTTTTTTTGCTCGCCGCGACGGTTCTGCAGAGCCCTCCCGAAGGGGATCGGTAGAGCGTACGTTCCTGCGGGGTCACCGCGGGCCCCCGCCTGGTGGAAACCCGTTCGCGCGGGGCCCCGGCGGGCCCCCGCAGCTCTCGCCGGCCGGCTTGGGCACGAGGGTCCCACCGAGCGCTCCTGAGGATGCCCGGCACGACGGAGCGGGGGCCCGCCAGACGGGGCCTCTTGGCTGCTCCACGGGCGCGGCCTGCAAAGCGGTGGCCATGGTCACCATGGCGCTGCTCTGGAGGCCCAGAAGATGGGGGGCATGCCCTCCGGCCCTCTGGGATAGTCGGGGGTGGACAGAACCCCTAACAGTGACACGTCGATTAGTGAATTGTCCGTTTTCGGTTCTCGAGAGGGCGCCGCGGCCGTTATTTTCGAGGCTTGCGCCCGCCAGGTTTGTGCCCGAGGTCGTTTTCACTAAACCACGTTTTGCGAAAGGGGGGTCTGTCCATCCCCGAGATAGCCCTTTCATCCACGTGAAGCTGTTGAGCTGAGCCCCGGGTGGCCTCTAGCGTTAGCATGGGAGTGCATTGCTCGTCGGGCAGGAGCTCGGGTAGTCGTGACCGTCGATTCCGATCAAGGTCGGCCCGGTAATTGGGCGCATGATTTCGTGCACTCTCTTGGGGTCCAGCTTTGGAACCCCAGTGCAATACAGTGCGTTGCGAATGCGCTGACGTGATGCTTCTTTGCCTACCGCCTTGTGCCGTCGAAATTCTCGCAGGCTTAGAGATTGACACCAACACCAGTATTGGCGGTGTGCCTCCACCGAGGGAAGAAGATCCTGATCTCGGTGATGGTGGTAATATTCTGGCTTCCAAGGTGATCGAAGTATGACCACCAACGCCGAAATCTGGGATCATCGTCCCCCTGTGGAGGCAACCCCCTGTGTTGGTGCTGGTGCCCATTTCCAGGTCTCCAGAATTGTTGTCGCTTCGCGAATCCCCACCAGCCCATCCAGAAACGATGCCCAGAGGAATTGCCTCGATCAGAGAAGTGGGCAGCACACAGAGGAAGCCATTATGAGACATCTTGGGATATCTTGAGCCATCTTGGAGGTCATTTTGGGCTCTCCCAGACGCTCTTGGAGTCATCTTAATCCGTGCCCCCCCCCAAGAGGCCTCCATGTGGCTAAAACCTGTGTAGAATCAATGATTAGGCATTCTCGCCGAGGCCTCTTGGAGCATCTTGGGTGCATCTGGGGGGGCTCTTGGGGCCTCTTGGGGGTCTCTTGGGGGCCTCCGGGGGGCCTCTTGGGGGCCTCTTGGGGCCATTTTGGGGCCATCTTGGGACCTCTTGGGGCTTCCTGGGCGCTTCTTGGGGCCATCTTGGAGGAGATCGATCAAACAAGAGGGGGGGTTTAATTAGCGTCCCCCCTCGGAAGCCCCTAAAATCGCCTCTTGGACCCCTCTTGGAACGCTCTTGGAGTGCTCTTGGGCGCTCTTGGGGCCGTCTTGGGGCTCTTTTGGGGCTCTCTTGGGGCCCTCTTGGGCCATCTTGGAGCCATCTCCAGGCCTCGGATAGCCATCGGAAGCGAAAAGGCGAGAAAGCAAAAATCATTGATTTTCCTTAGGTTTTGGGACGATTTTGGCCTCTTCGGGGCCTCCTTGGGGAGCTGTTTGGCCACTTGGAGTTATCTTGGGGCCGTCTTTGGGCTTCTTGGAACCATCTTAGGAGCCATCGTGAGCGATCTTGCGCTATCTTGAGCCATCTTGGAGCTCATCTTGGGTTCTCTGAGGCGCTCTTGGAGCCGTCTTGGGCCATCTTGGACGCTCTAACTACCCGCGGCCCCCCCCGTCCAGGTCCAGGGGAGGGGGTAGGGGGAGGGGTAAACCCCTCCCCAAGGGGGAAGAGGGAGGGGTGGAAGAGGATCTGTTCTAGACCACCTACGCCCAGAGGGCTGGTGGGATTCATGCCTTGTCGCCACCGTGCTTGACTTGTTCACTTGTCGGCCACTGTACTCCAGATTTCGTAATAAAAGGGAGGGGGTCTGGACCCTCCAAGACAAGCCATTTCAGACCTCCCCCGTGGGAGAACCCTCCAAAACATCGTCCCCAGACCCCCCAGGCCCTCCAAGATAGCCTGGAACAGACCCCCCCGAAATGAGACCCCCCTCCCTTTATTACGAAATCTGGAGTAGGGGTCTCACAGTCCAGCCCCACCGTGCCCTCGGAGGCGCGTCCGCGGAAGCGTCATTGAGAAGGAGAGGGCCCTGAGCTTCTGGCGGGGCACTTCTCGCTCGCGCGCGTGCGGCCAGGGCCATGATGGTGTCACTTCGAGCTCCATTTTGTCAGGAGGGAAAAGAAACACACAGACACAACTAACCCCATACCCACGATAATAAAGTACCCCCCCTATACACAAAAGAGTTAATTATCCACGGCCAAGAAGAGTTTGGTCGGGGGCGCGGGGCGCGGAGGCCGAACTTCATTATCACCGTGAAAAGTTCGCCATAGAGGTTACTTCCTTCTTATGTTGAGATATGTCTGTCTCTTTCTCTCTTTCTCTCTGTCTCTCTATCTGTCCTCTGTCTCTCTTTCTCTTTCTCTTTCTTTCTCTCTCTCAACCTTTCTCCTTCTTTCCGTGCCCCCCTGAACTTTTTTATCGCTGTGGTTGACTATCCTGGGAAAACGAGGCAGATGAGCTACCCTACACGAGCAGATGAACATCTCAATTTCCGTTAAGCGCTTACACATAAAATCTTATAGGTTTTGAATTGTGGATTGTTGTTGCCTCCTCCTCCTCTCCTTCTCCTGCTCGTTTCTTCTCTTTCTCTCTGTTTATATGTGTCTAAATCTTGCCGAGGATGTCTCAAGCGAGACAAGCCATTGTTGAGGATGTCTCAGAGAGGACAAAAAGCCAAGGATGTCTCAAGATATCCTCGGCTTTGGCTCCTCTGTTAACATATTTATGCTGGCCTCTGGTGGGCAACTTTTATTATCACCCCGTAACCGCCGAACTTTATTATTCCTGGGGGTTTATTCTCGGGCGCATGGGGGTGAATCGTCGATTCCCGAGAAAATATGGGAAAATATGGGAAGTGGGGGGGAAGACAATAATCCAGAAAATATAGGAAAATATGGAAATTATATTATTTGTGTGTATTTATTTGTGTGTCCCAGGCCCCTTGATTTGCACGAAGCCGTCGTTCTCGAGGGGGTCGCCACAACGTGGATACGCCACTGGCGACAGCAGCACGCTGCCCTGCTCGTGAGGTTTGGTGTCTTGCTTTCCGTCAGCGCCGACGCTGTCATAGCTTGCGTCAGGCTGCATGAGACTGGCCCCATTCACGCTTTCACGTGCCCTCTCGTCCAAATCGGATATTTCGAGTCCCCTCGTTCTGTCATGCCCCAACCACCTGCACTGCGCTCCGTTTCACGATTTGCTTCTGCTCCCAGCTTTCTCGTACTGGTCTTGGGTCTGCGAGCTTTGAGTCCCAGACCCCCGACGTCGTGATTTTTGTCATGCCGTCGAGCCCCCAGGTCTGGACCCCCTCCCCGGGACCAGTTCTTCATCCTGAATAGTTTTTTGATGGTCCCGGGGCCCGGTGGGGGCCCCTGGAGGCCGACAACGACCAAAAACCTCCCGTCGTGATTTTTTCACCACGTCGGGGGGTCTGGGCAGTGGCCCTGGGTCGGCGAGCGTCGAGGAGTGCGCCCGAAGACGCGCCGAGGCAGCGGCCAGGCGCGCCGCAGAGATGAAGGTGGCGAAGCAGCTGGCCTCGGACCGCGCCAAGGCCCCGGCGGGCCTCGCCCGGCGGGGCCGGAGGGCCAGCGTGCTGCGCTTGGCGAGGGAACGCAAGACATACAGTCAAAAACCCCGATAAGGACGCGCGGCTTTGCTCAGGGCACCCTTGCGTCCTTGCTCTTCCTTGCTCTTGCGTCCTTGAGGTGTTCGTCGTCCGCCGCCCCCAAACTCCCAGCTTCGGCTTCCAAGGGTCCTGCGTCCTTACCGCGCGTCCTCATTAGGGTTTTTGGCTGTACGTCCGATGCGTGATCGCAGCAGGGAGCGTGAGCCGCATGCGGCAGTACGTGAACCGCGCGTCCAGGCCAAATGCAACGGGTGAGCTCCCCCATGGACTGGCAGGGGGGGGGGAGAAGGTTTTGTGGGGTTGGGGGCGATCGAGAGGGAAGACTGCACCGTTCAGTGATGTGAGCGTGTAGTGGAGCCTGCCTGGAGATGTGGCAACGCCGCGCAGACGCTGAAGCCTCCCAGACAGGCGAGCGGTCTGCAATATACTAGATATGTATATGATGTAACAACAGTGCTTGCACTTAGGGAGTATTATTTCTGTTCTGAGGAACTGGGCCTGGGTGGCGGTCTGGCGGTTCCGTGCTCGCCGTCACCGCTTTGTCGCCGCCCGTCGTCTGGGCCTGGGTGGCGGTCTGGCGGCTCCGTGCTGGCCGTCGCCGCCTCATCACCGCCCCCCCGTCGCCGCTTAATTTTCTTTCCTAAAAAGAAAATAGACTCTACCCCCCCCCCCCGGCGTTATCGGTCCCCCTTTCGGGTATGTAAATCATATATGATTCTGACCACATGTCCATCCGAAATATGAATTTACACTATCCCCGGGGGGCCGGTATCGACCCCCCTGAAGTTCCCTGGTAAAAAACGATACGCGGGGACATCGTTTGTTCTAACATAACGCTTTTTCGCGAATCCCTTTGCAAACAAAAATTGACGAAGTGCACACGCGCGCGCCGTCGCGCGCGCATGCCGAAATCCTCCAAAAACCCTCGGTGTCGGAAGGATTTCGCAATCGAGTTTCCCAAAAGCATCCAAAAACAAAGGGTTTCGCAACACTGATTTGCTAAAAAAGCTTACGCGCGAGCTCTTGCGAAATCTTAAGAAAACCATCGGTTTTTCAAGATTCGCACAAAATGCTACCAAACGGGCTTCGCGCGCGCATGTCGAAATCTGTCGAACGCCCTTGCGTGTGTGACGTCGCGAGAATCCTCTGCAAAAATCGGGACGAAGTGCAGACGCGCGCGTCGTCGCGCGCATATGCCGAAATCCTTCAAAACCCATCGGTTTCGCAAGGATTTCAAAATCGTGTCCAAAAAACTTACAAAAACACAAGGTTTCGCAACACGGATTTTCAACAAAAGCGAGCGCGCGCGCTCTTGCGTCGTCGTCGTCGTCGTCGTCGCCATCCTCCCTCCTCCCGCGTCGTCGTCGTCGTCGTCGTCGCCTACGTCGTCCTCTGTCTTTCCTCGTGTTCGTCGTCGTCGTCCTCTTTGGCGTCGTGGTCGTTTCCGTCGTCGTTGTCGCCGTGGTCGTCCTTCCTCCTCCTCCTCCCTCGTCGTCGTCGTCGTCGTCGTCGGCGTCTCGTCGTCGTCCCTCCTATTTCGTCGCCGTCGTCGTCGTCGTTCGTCGTCGTCGTCGTCGTCGTATGTCGTCGTCGTCGTCGTCGTCGTCGTCTTCCCTCCTCCCTCGTCGTTGTCGTCGTCGGCGTCGCCGTCCTTCCTCCTTCTTCGTCGTTCGCGTCGTCGCCGTCCGTCCTCGCTCCTCCCTCGTCGTTGTCGTCGTTGTCGTCGTTGTCGCCGTCGTCGTCGTCCCTCCTCCCTCGTCGTAGTCTTCGTTGGCGACGTCGTCGTCGTCTTCGTCGTCGGCGTCGGCGTCGTCGTCGTCTTCGTCGTCGTCGACGTCGGCGTCGTCGTCGTCGCCGCCGTCGTCGTCGGCGTCGTTGACGTCGTCGTCGTCGTCGGTGCGGTGCCGTCATTGTCGTCGTCGTCGTCGGCGTCGTCATCGTCGTCGTCGTTGTCATCGTCGGCGTCGTCGGCGTCGGCGTCGTCGGCGTTGTCGTCGTTGTCGTCGTCGTCGTCATCGTTGTCGTCGTCGTTGTCGTCGTCGTCGTCGTCGAAGTCGTCGGAGCCGTCGTCGGTGTCGTCGTAGTCGTCGTCGGCGTTGTCGTCGTCGTCGTCGGCGCCGGTGTCGTTGCCAAGTGCCATTTGGAACCTACCGTCATGGTCTTAAGAGGTTTTGCAAACCAAGTTGCGGGTGGGTGGGTGGGATGTTTGCAAGAGCATGAGATGTGTCACATCATGGGTAAAAATCAATTGCACAACATAGATTGCACCACACATATTCTCTTGTCTACAAGAATTGTCGGATCTACCTCCTTCCCCCCCCCCCCCGGGGCTCCACGCTGGCATCCGCGCCTATATAACTTCGAACTGGGGTGGCGGCCGGAGGGGGGGGGGGAGGGAGGAGGGGTGGGAAGGAAGGATGGTGGGATGGGGAGGAGGAGGAGGAGGAGGAGGAGGAGGAGGAGAGGAGGAGGAGAAGGAGAAGGAGAAGGAGAAGGGAGAAGGAGAAGGAGAAGGAGAGGAGGGAGGGGAGGAGGGAGAGGGAGGGGGCGAGGGCGAGGCGAGGCGCACGAGGGCAGGGCGTGGATGGGGATGGGATGGCGATGTGGGGAGGAGGAGAAGGCGGGCGACCAGGAGCAGGAGGAGGAGGGGGACGATACGTAGAAGGAGGAGGAGGCGAGGGGGGGGGGAGGATTGGAGGAGGAGGGGCAGGAGGAGGAGGAGGAGGAGGAGGGGGAGGAGGAGGAGGAGGAGGGGGAGGAGGAGGAGGATGGAGGAGGAGGAGGAGGAGAAGGAGGAGGAGGAGGAGGAGGAGGAGGACGAGGCGGAGAACGAGGACGATGGGGAGGAGGAGAAGGAAGGGGATAATGTTTGCGACGCCATGGTTTCGCCCCTCCTTTCGCTCCTTCTGTATATGACGCAGTATACGCCCGCGTACTTCACGCTGCTCTGTTACTCGAGTTCCCGTCCGCATTTTTCGAACAATCCGTGATTGACATGGGACTGTAATTATTGCTAATTGCCCGTTGATGGCGCACTGCCACGGTCAGCGCTGGTGCCCCCCAAACTGCGAAACTTGCAAGGATTCTCGATGGTGCTGTGAGGGCCCCACGCAACAGATCGAGCTCGTGGATCCGCTCCCCACCACGGTGCCGTGTGGCGCCGTGTCGAAGCCATTGGCCATTTGGTGCCGTGCGGTGCGCGCAGTGGTGCTCTGTAGCGCCGTGTGGGAGCCGTTGATCGTGAGGCGCCGTGCGGTGCCGTGTGGAAGTCGTCGGCCGTCCGCGTGGAGCAGCGCGGTGCCGCGTGGCGCCGTGTCGGATCTCTTGCCCCGAGTGGCGCCGCGCGGTTCCAAGGCGGACTCTGTGCCGGGATGGTGCCCGTGCGGCGCCGTGCGGTGCCGTGTCGAACCCGTTGCCCGGGTAGCTACCCGTGCGGTGCCGTGTCGAGCCCGTTGCCCGCGGGGTGCCGCGCGGTGAAGTGTCAGAAGCCCGCCAGTCTTGCGAGGTTGCGCGGCGCCCGCCCCGCCGGCCGCGCGGCCGGCCTCAGAGCCGATGCCCACGCGTGCGGTGCCGTGCGATGCGCGGGGAGTGTCTGGCAGGATGTGGCGCTGAGGTTTGCGTCGCGTGTGCCTGAGGAGCCGATCTCAAGCATTGGCGAAGCGTCCTGGCTCGCCTATAGGCCTACCAAAGGATGTTCTAAGAACTTGTTTGTGGTCTTCACGAAGTGTTCTTCGAGCATTTCTGGCTGAGACCGCCCTGTTTTCACACGTCGGCTTTGCGTTCTAAGAACACTGCTTTTGTTCTTGGAGCATCTCCGGATGCCAAGAACATGTCGCAGCAGGCCTAGAGGAATACCGGGACGGTCGGTCCCTGCTCAACTCGGAGCCTGAGAGACGGGGGTCAATGCAGACGGGGGTCAGCCAGGGCACCGCATCCTGCAGGATCTTGCGAATACCCCCTCTGGCTGACCCGGGTTAGCGAGCCGCTCGTGGCCTCGAGGCGGCCGCGCATATTGGCTGACCCCAGTTTGCGAAGACCTGCGTTGCAGTTTTTTGCCCCTGCATTGCAGTTTTTTGCTGTCCTGCTGACCCGGGTCTGGATTGACCCGGGTTGGAAGATCTTGTGGGACAAAAAAACACATTGTGGGTAAGCACACACACAAAAACACACACACACACACACACACTGTGTGTGTGTTTGTGTGTGTGTGTGTGTTTTGTGTGTGTGTTTTTGTGTGCGAGTGTGTGTGTGTGTTGTGTGTGTGTGTTTGTGTGTGTGTGTGTGTTTTTGTGTGTGTGTGTTTTTACTCACAGTGTGTGTTGTGTGTTTTTTTATGTTTGTTGTGTGCTTTTTGTGTGTGTGTTGTTTACCCACCGTGTTTTTTTTTTGTGTGTGTGTGTGTGTTTTTACCCACGGTGTGTGTGTGTGTTTTGATCAACGATCGGAGCGTCCAGGATCCGCCCCCGTCGGCGGGAGCCCCCAGGCCGTCAAGAGGGCACACCGCGCGAAGGACAAGGCCGCGGCGGCCGCCAACGCGGCAAGGCAGGCGGAGACCAAGGCGCTCACCGCCCCCCCTGTGTGTGTGTGTTTTGTTTGTGTGTGTTTTTCTCTGTGTGTGTTGTGTATGTGTGTATGTGTGTATGTGTGTATGTGTGTATGTGTGTATGTGTGTATGCGTGTATGTGTGCATGTGTGTATGTGTGTATGTGTGTATGTGTGTATGTGTGTATGCGTGTATGTGTGTATGTGTGTATGCGTGTATGTGTGTATGCGTGTATGCGTGTATGCGTGTATGTGTGTATGTGTGTATGTGTTAATGTGTGTATGTGTGTATGCGTGTATGTGTGTATGTGTGTATGTGTGTATGTGTGTATGTGTGTATGCGTGTATGTGTGTATGTGTGTATGTGTGTATGCGTGTTTGTGTGTATGCGTGTATGTGTGTATGCGTGTATGTGTGTATGTGTGTATGCGTGTTTGTGTGTATGCGTGTATGTGTGTATGTGTGTATGTGTGTATGCGTGTATGCGTGTTTGTGTGTATGTGTGTATGTGTGTATGCGTGTATGTGTGTATGTGTGTATGCGTGTACGTGTGTATGTGTGTATGTGTGTATGCGGTATGTGTGTGTGTGTGTGCGTGTATGTGTGTATGTGTGTATGTGTGTATGTATGTATGTGTGTATGTGTGTGTATGTAAGTGTGTATGTGTGTATGTATGTGTGTGTATGCGTGTATGTGTGTATGTGTGTATGTGTGTATGTGTGTATGTGTGTATGTATGTGTGTATGTGTGTATGTGTGTATGTATGTGTGTATGCATGTTTGTGTGTATGTATGTGTATGTGTGTATGTGTGTATGTGTGTATGCGTGTATGTATGTGTGTATGTGTGTATGTGTGTATGTGTGTATGTATGTATGTGTGTATGCGTGTATGTGTGTGTATGTGTGTATGTGTGTGTATGTGTGTATGTGTATGTATGTGTGTTGTATGTGTGTATGTGTGTAGGTGTGTATGTGTGTGTGTGTGTATGTGTGTATGCGTGTTTGTGTGTATGTGTGTATGTGTGTGTCTTCGTGTATGCGTGTATGCGTGTATGTGTGTATGCGTGTATGTGTGTATGTGTGTATGTGTGTATGTGTGTATGCGTGTTTGTGTGTATGTGTGTATGTGTGTATTCGTGTATGCGTGTATGTGTGTATGCGTGTATGTGTGTATGCGTGTATGTGTGTATGTGTGTATGTGTGTATGTGTGTATGCGTGTTTGTGTGTATGTGTGTATGTGTGTATGCGTGTATGTGTGTATGTGTGGTGTATGTGTGTATGTGTGTATGTGTGTATGTGTGTATGTGTGTATGTGTGTATGTGTGTATGTGTGTATGTGTGTATGCGTGTATGTGTGTATGCGTGTATGTGTGTATGTGTGTATGTGTGTATGTGTGTATGCGTGTTTGTGTGTATGTGTGTATGTGTGTATTCGTGTATGCGTGTATGCGTGTATGTGTGTATGCGTGTATGTGTGTATGTGTGTATGTGTGTATGTGTGTATGCGTGTTTGTGTGTATGTGTGTATTCGTGTATTCGTGTATGCGTGTATGTGTGTATGCGTGTATGCGTGTATGTGTGTATGTGTGTATGTGTGTATGTGTGTATGCGTGTATGTGTGTATGCGTGTTTGTGTGTAT